AACCTATAATTAAGCTATTTACTCAGCATTGAAACAATATATTTTCATGAAAGCAATCAATCACATTTTTGCATATAATTGATAATGATTTACCGCAGTTAAATAACATTTTTACCATTTGATGTTTTTATCACATTTCAATCACCTTATATTACATCAATGATTTATAAATATATATATATTTATTTATTTATTCATATATTTATTTAATTATTTATTATTTACTTATTTTTTCATCCCTTTATTTATTTGTTTGTTTATTTATCAGTTATTAAAAAAGAAAAAGAAAAGTAAACTCTTCCTATCATTAAATGCTATACAAGTAAAGTACCTTTTCATTTTGTTAATGTTAGAAAGCAAAGATGCTTATCTTTCACCTATTTGCCACTTCAAACAACTTTTCTATGCCCACACTGAAGTAATGGGTAATTTGGGAACACATCCCGGTATATGTAACAGTTATATTATATTGATAAAGCAAAATTTTTACACTGATATTTTCATTTACACTTCTAGGCATATAAGTTTAATGAGAAAAATAGTAAAAATAGTATAATCTTATACTAAAAATAACTGACATTAATTTATTTTTCTCATTTCAATATCACCAGGGCAAATAAACATGGCATATTTTTGAAAAGAAAATGAGAAAAATCAGTTGAAGTCACTTATTAATATATATATTTATATATGAACATTGAAGTTCATTATTATTATAATTATTATTTCTATTGTTGTTGTTATCATTATTATTATTCATTTTTCACTATAAATATTATATTTTTGCACTTGTTTTTTTAAAGTTGATAATTAATGTAAATAAATGTAATGATTAAATTGTAGGTAATGGATACGTATTTTTTATAGTTGGTAAAATGGATTAGTTGGCAATAATACATTACCACTAGCTTATTAATTATCATATTAATATCAGTTGTAGATAACTTTTAAGTATTTTTATTTTTGTTGTTTTACTACATTTTTTTTCTTTTTAACAACATGATGTATGATGGAAAATGTTAAATAAAGAAACTTATTGTCATAAAAAAAACAAGAACAAATGTTTGCGTTATTGAATGACCCTCCATTTTGTCATTGATTATATCATTTTCATATAAACGGGGGTAAAACCATATATCACGAACACATTTTCATCTACACAAATAACAATTACCAGCAAAGATCATACTAACGCATGAGAAATATGCAGAAAAAATATCATATTTATTCATTTCGTAAAATAGTATTACACCATTTGCGATTTCGGAGAATGAACTGCAAAGATGACAGTAATATTAAAATATGATAAACAAGATCAACAAGGAAAGGCGGCGTCCAATAAACGCAACCCCCATACGACCCAGTAACAAGAACCATTTTAAAGTATGAATAATATACTTCTATGCATATTTATCAAATAACTCCAAACAACAGTTTGCAAAATTATCCTTAGAAAATAAACCCCTATAAAAAGATAGTCGAAAAGTATCCGCAGAACGGACAGGTACTAGGTTTAAAAGATAGGGGAATTATTCCTCTATCTCTCTAGTCTCATTATGTAACTCTCTCTGCATGTAAATTTGTTGCTGAAAAAGTGGCTTAAGGTCGACCCCCTGAAAAAGGACATCTGGAATTTCCTTTTTTATTCTGGAACGCATTATATATATATATATATATATAAGTATGTATATACATGTAAGTATGTTTTTATTTCTTGTTACTATAACATTTGGCGTTTCTGTCCGCCCGTTTAGTTCAATAGGGTTTAAAAACTTGATTTATAAAGATGGTCGGGCGAGGCGACAGTTCTACGTGACAGTCTTATGGAACATTGAGATGTTTAAAATATATTCCCAAGTTTTTCAATATAGACTAGAAACATATCAGAAGAATTAACATATTCAAGTAATCAGTCTCAGTTAGTACGACAAAGCTATTTTGAAATCAATTTTAGCAGGAAAATTTTTATATTTTCATATCTAAACAAAATGTATGTTAAGCAATCACCTAACATACGAGTATTATTGTTGAGAAAATAATATGTTAAAAATATCATATTAGAGCATTTGATCTAAAAGTCGTTAAACATGATTGTCTGTTGCCTTACCTTTTTATGCATCAATTATCAATAGATGAATGAGCTTTTTTCCCTCATCAGACCGCGGCTCATTAGAAATTGATACTTGTCGAAGTTCGACGAATATCCGGGAGTATACATATCCAAATATAAAAACTATCTCAATTTAACCTTTTTGAACTTTTTTCAAAATATATTTTATGTTTAAAGAGATAGTGCGAGCTTCTGTACCTGATGATTTTATAGAAATAAGACCTGTTGGTAACCTTGCTTCAGGTAGAAATAATGTAAGTTGATAACCTTAAAAAAATATAGAAAATATGTAAATAGGGTAACATTATAAAACAATAAATTCATGTTACAATAGCTCTACTAACACTGAACATTCTGCGAATTAATTTCACGCTATATGAGTGTCAAAATGTGTATACTTGTAATTAGAATTAGGAAGATGCTAATATAAGAAATAGTACACAGCACTGAGAATCTCCTAGTTCTCACCAGAATGGTTTGATGTATATCGCACTTGAATAGAACAAAGTGATAACTTTTTCTACAAGGAGAGACGTTATATTTCTTTAGTAAAAACATTTAAAATAAATCAGTCTTATAGGAAAACAAAACAGTCTTAAAGGAAAAAAAACAGTCTTATTGGATAATAAATCAGTCTTTTAGGAAAATAAAACAGTCTTTTAGGAAAATAAAGCAGTCTTATTGGTTATTGCATGTTTTTGTGTAATCTACTTCGCCGGTATACACAACTGAATGTTATTATCTGACAAAAGATAATAGTTTTACGCTCAGACGGTCATTATTATTTTATATCGGAAGATAACGTGATCGTGAATGCTTTAATTATACTATTTAGAAGTTAACTGACACTTAAAGAAGTAATTTAGATTAATAACAAAGATTTATTTTACAATGTTACAGATTGATGAGATGTTGTTAGCATTATCTGAGAATATTAGTTTATACGACTCTCAGTTGTCACCCGTAGAACGGGCGTATCTGTACGTGCGAATGCAAAAACATCTCAAATATAACACAGAGGAGAAAAAGAAAACGGTAAGGGCTTTACATATTCTAAATAAATAGAACTGACCAAATAATGACGAAAAAGAACCGAACATCAACTGAAGACCATAATATGACGTCAATTTTTGTCATCTCCGTTATGAGATAATAACAGTAGTCTGTTATGCGCTTTTATGAAGAACAAGAGCGGCTGTGATGACGATAACATACTAAATATTTTGTTTAATTACAATGTACGTTTGTTATGTTGTTTTTCATTTGATTATCGCGATATTCAATATTACCTATGTACAAGGCATCTAAAATTGTGCAGCAATATTACTATATCATTAAACACATCTGTAATGCTCATAACCGTGTATAGAGTGTTGTTTACTATATAACCATCAGCTAGCTGCTCAGGTTAAATAAATTTACAATTTTTTAAGAGTTGATAAGGGCGAAAAAAGTTATTTGAATGGTGTCATTGGTCTGATCAACAATTATAGGTGACATTTTTATAGTATTTTGGTTTTAGATTTTTGAATTTGTATATCTTTCAGCAGCAACAAAAAAGTAATTAGCCTTCTTTTTGAATATTTCAAGAAACTTAAAAATGTCTTTCAAATGTTGTTTTATAGTAAGTATGGGCTAACGGTTTATTTTATAAATCAGGATCGCTTGCTTAATTAAATATTTCAGGCGAAGGAGGCTGCAAACATGACACTTGAACTAGCGCAAGAAGTGCAGAACCAGTGGAAGCTTTGTAGACGATGCAGTAACGCCCGTAACAGTAAAACAAATCAGTTACTAAAGAATGACAAATCAAACAAATTTATGACCAAGATGACGGCTACGGCCACATCTAAATTCCGTATTGACGGCCTGGGCGAGACGCTAGAAAATTTGACCTATGACACCTTTGACACGGTGTCAGTCTCAGTAGGTGACATTTTAAATTTGTTTTTGTCACGATAGCTTGTGCTTGACATCTCAATTCATTTGCATCTATGATGGTCGTGTGTTCGAATTTTATGATGGACATAATTCTTCAAAGGAGTCATTAAACTAGTATACCTTAAGTTTGTTGTTTTCTCAGATCCGAATGTGCGCATGTAAATTAAAAGTGTGATTGCAAGGGCACAGGAGGACATGTCCAATGACTTTAGGAACTTGTTTTATCAGTCAGTATGGAATATGACTTTGATTTCAGCATTATGTTAAGACCTTATTCAGAAAATTATATATTTTTTACCAAAGATGACATTTACGTACAGTCAGATTCTTCTACTTACAGCATGAATTTAATTATAAAACATCTGCATAACGTTATGCAATTATCACTTTTAAATTAAAAGGAATAGCCCAAGAAGTAAAAGCAATGGATTGCATGGAAGATTTAATTAAATGGGCAGAGGTAAACATAAAACTTAATCTGTCAAAGAACTAAAATTCTGAAGTTTGATTGTTCAGCTTTACCTTCTTGTCGTTGCATTCTGATTTAATGACTACATTAAAACCCATTTATATTTTTGTCCGTTTTAGGCATTTGAATTTCAAGAGAATGTTTACATGTATGACAACGACAGCACATCAAGCTTTGTGACGTCAAAGGTGCTCCGAATCGACGTTAAATCGGTAGATACGCGTGTAACCCCTGGATACATGACGTTTCAACAAACGGTGATTACACCAATTCCAGAGTACGTTATTCCCGAGGTTCACGAAGAGGATGTGTCAGAGTTTATGTATCATAGATTGATTTATCAGAAGGCAACGGACGAATTGTGTATGATTATTGAACCACAAGGACGGTACAATTTTACCGAATATCGTGTGTATATAAAATACAGCTCAGTGCCATCTATAATTGATTTTGATTTTAATGTTTACGTTAAGGGAGAATTTAATTGGCAGCTATGTATTCCACCAGAAAAGATGAGAAATCATACCGGACTTACATATATGGCCGTCCAGTTACCAGGAAACAGTAAGTTATTTACTAATTTTCATGTCATAAAGAAATTGGGTTCTATTTAACCTAAGCTTGAAGTAGGTTGTGTTGTTTTTTATGTTGATAGTGGCATTTGTTGCCTTGTTGATATGCCTTGTTGATAAAAAAACACCAGAGTTTGCTGAATCACCGTCAGTTCTATTTCAGTTCAAACACACTTAAGAATCATTAATTGCATTTTCTATAAACATAACGCATAAGGGCTTAAGAATTATTCAGTGCCATTTCTGTACAATACTTAAAAATAGTGACATATTGCGAGCCGTTTACACTTTTGCAGAAAAATAGTATAATTAGTGACATCTTAATATACTGCAGTCACAAAGTTAAACATTGCGTAACATCTAAACGTGCTGCAATAATCGGTATAATATTGCAATGGTCGCAATGTATTGAAACTCTTTATGCATTACTTAGAAAAATATTGCACACTATATTGAAATGCTGCAATACTGTAATTTATTGCCATTCCTGCAATAAAGTGGAACATTGCAAAGTATCGCTTCTTGCATTGATCTGCCAAGATCAATGTTCTTTCTCAAATATAGTCATATAAGTCTGAGCTAAATAATATCAATAAATACTGTAATTTCAGTGACATCTGTAGCTTACAACCTGACAATTGTAACTGTTGGATGTCTGACTTGGGAAGAAAAAATATCAAAATGGCATACGGACAAGTGTGAGGTATTTTGATTCGACAATTGTCCTCATTCCTACGACTTTTAATAATAATCGTTTGCTTATAGCCATTCACCTATTGCGGGTTGTGAGGAATTGTCACCATAAAAGAATATTTTACTAACTTACTTACTACCGTGCAGGCATTTTAAAGCATATTTAATCACTTTCAGATATATATTGATTCATTAAAGTGAAGATCTATGATAATGATAATATATTTAATACATTCATTTCTACAGGAACACATTTATTTATAACAATATCTTTTTGCACTGTCTGTATTAAAATCTATGCATTATTGTGTACCTCTTTGACAACTTGTTGCGTCAGTCGCTATGCCTAAAACTATTTTGAAGAAACTTGGTGTTTCAATAATACATTTTTGTTAACAATGTTTCCTTTTCAAATTATGTTTACGAGTAATTTATGTATTATTTGATTTGTATAAAAGGAATTTATATTTTCTTTTAAAGCTTCAATGGAAACCAGACGAAAATCTTGTGTCGTGTTTCTGCAAAGACATCACTGACCTGGTGTTCTCCAATTCATTCTTTGTGGCACCTAACTCTATAGACTTTAATACCGTGTTTTTGCGATTTTCTCCCCTGAACCAAGCGGCCGTTATAGGGACGTTTAGTGTGCTGTTTGTGTGCTATATTGTTGCTGTTATTTTCTTATCCGGTTTAGACAGACAGGATTCGTTGAAGGTACAATTCTCCCCATCATGTTCTTTAATTAAATATTTGGCGAATAATGTTATTGAAATTGCGAAATATGGATAGTACCAAAAAGTAATGAAAGGGAAATAAAAATGAAGCAAAAAATACTAAGCAAATACATTTTTTACTGCATTAATATAGAGATAAGTTTGTTGTAAATATAATCCAATAATACAGCTTTCAGTTAGTCTTACATATAAAAACTTAAATAAGCCGACAGTATTTGTTGAACAAACGTCGTGAAATAATATTCTTATTTACAAAGTATGTTATTTTTCATAAATTGTGTATTTGGTTTAATAAGTTTATTTTTCCTTGTAGTGGGGAATAACACCATTAAGAGACAACACGATAAATGAAATTAATTATTACATAATAAAAGTATTTACCGGAATGAGGCGCGGAGCGGGAACTAAGTCACGTGTCGCATTTGTCCTGACTGGTTCAAATGGTAGCACCAGACCACGTGAATTGTACGATGGCGTCAGAGAGGTATTTATTATTTTACGATCATATTTAGAATGTCTAAAGATTTTCGTCTATGCCTAATGATTTCATATGCTGATTTTTTGTTGTTATAATTTTAAGGAGTAGTGTGCCAATAGGCACAGAGGGATTGTCATTTACATTAAATTTTCCTGGAAGTATAAATCATAAACTGTTGAAGATCAAATTCAGAACTAGAATTGTTGATGTATTTTAAGTCTGAATTCGTACAATCTGAATAAAGTTCAGATCTACTTACGTCAATTCTTGCACGAAACGCACCGTTTATTTGGAGCAGATTTTAATAAGATTGGTTTCATATTAAGTATATTTTAAAATTAGTTATGGTATTGTGATATTACATTTGTTCCTTCTATATCTGATCATCCAAATATTTGTCGAAAAAGAAAGGGTGATCTGTCTGAAGCATTATCACAACAAAATGACATGAAAACTGAGACTCAGTTTGATGGTGTCTGTACATGATAGATCATGAAAAAGTGCAACATCCCTCACACTCAAGGCATAAAAGCATGTTTTTTGTTACGCCTTCATTGCAAATATATTATATCTTATTTGGACTCCCTCAGGAATTCAGTACTGGCAGTGTCATGTCCTTCTTCATGTCAACAAATCAGCCGCTTGGCGATTTGTTACATCTTTATATTTGGCATGACAATAGTGGCGGGTCACAGGCCGAATGGTACCTCAACCAAGTAGTTGTCTATGACATAGAGACATTAAAAGCGTAAGTTTGTGTAGATCTTTTTAATACAATATTCATAAAATCCATTCTACAATTATTTGTAATGTGTATTGAAATATTTCATATGCTACAATATGTTAAAAATGTAAACAACAATTGTCATAAATGTACAAGTTGATATTTAAATTCTAATAACTATAATAAATACATATAACTGGGTCTTCTATATATTATAACATAATAATTAATGACTAAAAGCAAGATCCTATTATGATCACGATATATACAAAACTAAATCAGTTGCATTTTCAGTATTTAGTTATACCGGAAATAAACTGTATGTAGGCAGCACCATGGAAAAAGGACGGTAGCAAGCTTTGTTGAACATTGATATTCATAATCAAAACCAAGATTGTTTGAGTTATCTGTCTTTTACATGTTTGTATTTCAATCGTTAATCCAACAATTTATTTCAAACAGACTTAATTCAATTTTATTTTAAAAGTTTCGTTTAAGTAACGTCAATCTTTTTGCAATAGTTGGAGCTTTCATACAATCACATATATAATTTAATTATACAATTTACAGATATACTTTCGTAGCTGAAAGGTGGCTTTCAGTAGACACCCACATAGATGCATGTTTGCCATCAAGCCTTTACAATCATCCGATAAAATTTGAATCTCGATTCTTCTTCCAACTCAGAGACAGATTCTCAGAGAACCACACTTGGATTTCAATAATTTATCGTCCACAGACAAGTACCTTTACTCGAATACAGCGTGTGTCATGTGCATTAGCGTTCATATTTCTTACAATGCTTGCGAATGCCATGTACTTTAATCCAGAACCCAACTATATATCACCAGCCATTCTAGAAGTTGGGCCATTCCGCTTTACAAAACAGCAGGTGTTTACAAAATTAATGTCCTTTGTTTTGTACTAATTCAAGTCATTTTCTTTTGTTTATTCATTTTTTAGGTGTGTGTTCAACATTTCAGCTTCTAAAACGGAAATAAATCATCTGGTTCAAACTAAACGAGCTTTCACTCAAGAAAGTTTTATAACAGAGACCTATAAAGGCATATTCCCAGTAGAAATTTTCTCTAAAAGCAAAAAATCAAACTAGCATCAGGTTTAAATTCCACAAAGACTGAGGAATCTTCCTAAATTCGATTGAAAAAACCCTGACTGACATTTTGTCAGCTATCTGAACAGTTTTGAGTCCATAAAGAGCTTATACTTGGACATGAGTGCTAAAGTTTTTAAGTGGTGATCTATGACTAATGCACAGATTGTAGTTCAAGTAATGTAATTTTTGTCATGTACATAACTCTTAGAGGAATGCATTTGTTAATTTGTTTACAGATATACATATCTATTATCTGTGCTGCTGTAACCACGCCCCCAATTATGTTGATTGTATACATTTTTCAACATACTAAAAGGAGGAAGCAAACAAATGACGACCATAAAAAGAAGGGCAACACTTGTTGCGGAAAACAACGTTCCGCTACTAACGAAGCCCGACTTAGAGAAATACAACTTTCTTCTGAAACACCGGAACTTAAGGCAGGACTGGTTTTCCCGTTTTGGTAGGTATATGATATGAAAGTTTAACTATTAATATCGTATAGCATTTTAGTGCAAAGGTTAGGCTTTGAATATAATATTTGTTTGTTTGGTGTAGTTTTAAGTAGCAGTTTTTAGACTCACACTACATAGCTACAAAATGGAGTGAACGACATTGGAAAAAAATATGATTTTATTAAACAATTGAATACTTAATTATAATATTATAAAAATCATTTGTTTTATTTCAAGGTTTGTTTATATCGGATGGTTGTTAGTTTTGGCTGCCATTGCTGCGTCTGCGTTTTTCATTGTTTTGTACAGTATTGAGTGGGGGAAACAAAAGTCAGAGGAGTGGCTTACGACTTTTTTCATGTCCATCTTCGAATCAATTATTTTTGTCGACCCTATATTGGTAAATATGGTTTATATCTAGACAATACAGAATGAATTTTGTTTAAAGTTTTACTTTTGCCATAAGCACGTGTAAAATCGACATTTCCCGCCACTGTTTGTGTCTACTTACTTAAAATTATTAGAAATGACAAGCAAATAACCATAAGACACGGAAATTGGCGAATTGTTGTCAGATTTTTAAAGAAAATGCAATACTGAATGGAACTCTCCGGAAACTACACAGTTATACGGAATATAAGATCCTATTTATTTTACATAATTATACGTGCGTGTACGGGATGTGTTTATCTATATTTGTGTACAAATTGAAGGATATCAAATGAAATTGATGCCATTTTGGTTAAACGCTCGGCAAAAGTACATTAGGCTTAGGGTAAATATTGTATGTTTTGCTAAAAATTGAATTGACATTATTATAACTTGTATCTATTTATTTAAAAGGTAATATGTATAGTGTTTGTACTAAGTTTGTTGCTAAGGACAAATAAAGTAGACAAGAATATTGATATACAGCACATTGTTGAACGTTACAAGCAAATGAAAGGAGATCAAGATGGTATGTCCGTACTTTTACAATGCATTTTTTACATGTTAAATACTATATTTGACATTATTAAAATCACGAAATGCCAGGTGAATGAACAGGAGGAAGTGAAAAGAAGTTTTCATTTTGCCATAATTCCTCTGAATTTCTCATGATCAATGAATAACTCACAAAGCCCACTGAAATTTCTGTAAATATCAAACTAATCTATACTGTAGCGTTCATGTTATTAAAAGAGTGAGACAGTCTTTTAATATTTTAGGTAGATTTATATTTTATCCTTTTCATATTTTCCAACATAAAATGTTGGTCAATCAAAATTGTAACAATCAATATTTAAAGATTGATAATCAGCACATCTAACAATGAAACAGATAAGCATAATGTCACAAATTATTTAAATTCATTATGATCTTAACTTTTTCATCTAATATGAACTACAATTACACAAGAACTATTCATCTGAAATGAACTGTTCTATCAGAAATGAAAATGAAATGAAAAACTGCTCTGTTAGATATAAAATCTCTTCATATATGAAATATTATATCATTTATTATAATTGTTTTGACATGAAAAACTCTATCAGACTTAAACTATTTTATAAGCTAAACTAATGAATAATTCTAACACTTACAGTTCCATGAATTATCAGAGAAAATGTTGTTGATTGCAAGCTTTATTCGATCAGATATGCATATGTTTTTAGATGTTAATAGTTACTTTTATATAACTTATTCTTTTTTAATATATAGACTAGTGAAAACTGAAATGTTTCAGAATAGATGAAAACATGTGTTTGTTTGTTTTCTTTAGATGAATTACAGTCAGCCATAAAGGTCTTACAATCAATCAAGAACGACTTTGAGTCACTAGAAAGTAAGTAACTGTACAAGTATCACTCGGCAAGAATATTATACACTTAATATATAAAACGTTAGAATTGTTGTGTACCGATGTAGCGTTTATGTTGTCAGATTCGGAAGATTTTCCATATTGCGCATGTGTAATGCTCATATTGTGCATATGACGATCAAGGCTTCGAGAAAATGTGGACATAGATGTAATTTAGTATAAAGCGTTACACAATACTTTTGTAACTTGTTTTGTCATTTTTTATCATTCAGAACTAAATGTTATGCTAGAGCGTTTATGTTCGTTTATGTTCGTGAAAGTATGGTTTCCAGAGCTTTTCACTTTTTTATTATTCTCATTTTATTTAAGGGATGTGGCCAGATGTAAGAACGACCAATAGTATTTTAATAAGCATACCCATTAAATGTTTAGAAAAAGTCATAGTTTACTAAAAAACGGAACTATTTTTCATTTCATATACGAAACAAGTGTAAGATATTGGTTTTAATTCAAGATGAAATTCTCACATTTTACTAATTAATATTTGCAAGTGACTATTCAACAATTGCTATATGATCAATCCAATACCACCAAGCTTGTGAAAAGAAACTTTACCAAGGACATTGCGTGCATCTTTTATATTATAGCGCAAAATTATTGTAGAAAGTAATGTTGAAAATATATACTGTATTAACTTAATGCCTCCTTTTTTACCTTCTTGCATTTTTGCTTATCACGTTTCATTATCAAATCAAAATTTTGATTTCAACTTTAAATCTTAATGAAGACTGCAATTTGTAAATTTCAGAGGATCCAAGGCGTGTTACACCACCCATGCAAGGACGTGACCTTGCTTTGGCTGCGGAAAACCATCGGCGTAAAATTTTAATGACGTCATTTGCAAAGGACATTCTTCTGAATATTTTGTTAATCATTATCCTCTTTAGTATTGCCTACGCAAACAGGGACAGCAAATCGTACATGCATCACGAGGAGATAGTCAATGCAATAGTTGAGCCTTGGAAATTGCCACAGTTCCACGACGTAAGTTATGGGTTTATATTTGTCGTATATAAATATATTTGAACTCTAAACCTTGCACACTTAAATACCATCACATAAATTTAACGTAAAAGCAATTCTGTAGAGTTCATGGAGAAAAATGACAGCTGGACTTTTTGTTTGTATGCGGGGTTTGTATTTACCACTACTTCCGGACGACTTTGTTTATGAAATAACATTTTTGTTTCTTTGAATTTTATACAGTGTCTAATTTACATATAATTATTGCAAGATTTTATAAGCATCTCTTTAGATTATTGAGAGCAATTTTAAATCCCCCCTGAAAGAGCTGATATCCGATGCAGCGAACAATGTGGTGAAGAAACTACCGATCCTGTTTAAATTCCGATTTATCAATATTGTTTCATATAAGTTATGCACATTTTTCGCGTTTTATTTTAGTGACACATTGCTCTGCAAATGTCCAGTTATTGTGTTAGCGATTTTTATTGCATTTTCTAATTGTATAATTAATATTAAGAGGGGACAGCTTTGTCCAGAGCATTATATTGTAGGTGTATTAATTAGAATGTATACATGTATAAATATCAATTTACAGATCAAGACACCCGGTGATGTGTATAATTGGTTGAATATTTCTGTGATTCCAAGTTTATTCCCAGAATTTGATATTAATGGTGCACCATTGCATTGGACAGTTCGTCAATTTACAAATGGATACAATAATTTTAGATTAGGACCACCAAGGCTCCGACAGTTGAGAATGAAAAACAGTACGTTAATACGGTTTCAGTTTATAAAAGTGTTAAATTTTCCCAAGAACAAATTGAAATGCTGATATAAACATTGCCCCGTACTTTGCAGATACTCCACGTGCTTGTAATAACTCGGGATTTAAATGGCTAACATTTTACACAAATGAACATTGAACTTTTTTCTGTTATCTTCTTGTAAGAATGTTGATCTGTACGGATACAGTTTTCATTACGAATCTATGTTTAGATCTCCCCGTACATTTAGCCAATTTAAGTATCTGTATTGTTTAGCTTTGCACTTTTCAAAATTCCTATTTGCACTTTTAAGAGTATTTCCCATATCTAGTAAGACATACATGAAACTAAACGCAAACGTATGTTAAGGAAGTCGTACATAGTGTAACAGTTTGAATTATAGATTAAAAGATTCTGTATGTCGTAATTAAGGATGTAACATACAGTTAAGTAAAGTTTTATATATGTGTATAATTATTCTTCTTAATTTCCAAACATCCAAGACTTGGTTAGATATGTACAGCAAATGTTTATATATATTATAATTAAAAGTTAAAATTAATGCATCAATTAATGCATTTATTTTTTATTGAAAATACTTTATAGAAACTAAATTTCTACTAACCTCCCTTCAATTACATGAAAAGTTAAAACCGTTAATATCTTTACAAATATTTCTTTTTAAAACTTACAATATTGATAAATTTTCATTTGAGCATCATATTTATGATATAAAACCATAAAAATAAATTGCGTTTCAGGATCTTTAAAGTGTATAAAGATATATATCTGATGCAAAAAAATTGTTTGGATTAAAAAAAAGAATACTTCCAAAATGTTTGTATGAAATAAAAAGGTTAATAAATAGTCTTAAAGCGAGTGGCGCATGAAGTCATTGCTTAACTGATATAACCATACTTAAAATAGCAAAATACTATTTTGTTCCGGAACATGTTATTCTGTTTACGTACAATTTTCATGCGTATTAAAAAACAGAGACATTCTATGTTAAAACGTTTTCGGGAATCAGCCATATAACAATGGAACCAATATAATCTTACTGATGATAAATTTTATAAGAATGTTCCATAAGATATAGATTTATACCCTTTAACATACAATGTGGTTTGTACCTTTACCAGGAACATGTGAGATACCTTATATCGGACGAGAAAGTTGTCACGGGAAGTACAAGATATTAAATGAAGAAGAAACAAATTTTTGTCTAGGTTGGACAGAGCCACCATGCCCTGTGTCTGAACATGTTTTTAATTTAACCGTTGACGCCTGGAAATATACATTAGGTAGAAGTATAAATTGAAAAGTGTCTTTAGAATTGATTCTTTTGTGAATAATTATTGATTATTGATACTATTAAATATTGACAAAATTTTCGCAGTTGTTGAAACCTTATTTTGTACTTACAAATAAGATATTTTTGATCATCCCAAATACAGAATTAAATCGTTTCTATAAAAAACATCGAAAATGTAAGTGTGAGAGATGGTCATACTCATACCTTTATAACATAACTTACTCATACATTTTTTCAAATCATAAAACAGGTCATATAGACTTTTTATTTAGGAAACTTAAGTCAAGTTAACAAATCTTAATACATACTAAGCTAAATCTGTATATCAACAAAAATTGCTTACGTATAATTTTCAAGATTATTTCCACAGTTCATGCAAAAGGCATCTATACAATTCCTCTAGAATAAATAATTGTCTTAAATGTCTTTCAATTGTGTTATTCATTTTTAGAGGCCTGAATTTTTAAAATAATGGGCCTCAAAATTGTTCTTTCCTTTTTGATTAAGAATGTTTTCTTCACCATATATTTTCTAGCCTTAGATATATGGGGCCTGCCTACACCTGGGATTTATACAACTTACGGTGGAGGTGGATACATCGCTACATTCGACGTAGGTCGGAACATTTCTATTGGAATGTTAAACGAATTATTCAAAAACGTATGGATGAACAGGAAAACAAGGGCTGTGATATTTGAATTCACCCTATATAATGCAGTAACAAATATGTTCATCTACAACATATTCCTTATTGAGTTTTTAGAATCTGGTGGAGCCATAACAACATTTTCTATCTACCCAGTTCGCGTTTACACTCACCATGGTGCACTTGGTACATATACATTAGTGTGCGAAATCATTTTTGTCGTATACCTCATAGTTCTATGTGTTAAAGTATGTGTTAGAATTTATCAGAAACATTTAAATTTTTTCAAAGAATTTTGGCCAGTTTACGAAATGGTCATGCTGCTCACTGGAATAGTAATCGTTGTGTTTTTTGCCCTAAGACTCGGTTTTGCTTACCAAACTATTAACAAATTCAATGAAGACAAAAAGTTGTTTGTTGATTTTGGGCATATAATCCTGTGGGATCAGATGTTAGTAACAGCGCTGGCAATTCTTGTGTTTATGTCGACGCTGAGAATGTTGGAAGTGTTTGCAAGCTCAAAAAAGATCAATGCTGTAATACAAGTGTTTCATGATTGCGGTAAAGACCTTTGTTGGTACAGTCTGACGTTCTTACACATTTTCATTGCCTTTTGTTTGTTTGGTCTATTGATGTTTGGATCAAAGCTCAATTCCTACAAGGACTTTTATAGCACAATGGGAACCTTATTCATTGCTTTGATTGGGAAAAGCAAGTTTACAGAAGTTGATGAGACAGAGCCAATCTTTGCAAAGTTGTTTTTCTGGTTTTATATTCTAACAGTGGTATTCTTTGTTTTGTCCATCTTCCTGTCTATTCTCGGTGCAAGTATAGATATCGCCATACATAGTTCTCGACATGACCCAAGAGAGGATTTGGTCGAATATATTATAAACTCCGTGAAGTCATTATTCTCTAAACCAACAAGACATGTTGACGTGAAAGCTCCCTCACCGATAGCCGATTCTCCGTTAAAAGGTAATTCACTATTATTACTCATAAGGTCCAAACGCATTTATAATTACGATAGTTAATTTCTATGATACCAAATGAAGATCAGACAAGATAACGATTACAATTTTTATGATTGGTTTCATTATCATATTACTATTCTTTTAAATCAACTGACCCAATATTTGGGTTTAAATATTAGTTCACAAACGATAGCCAAGCAAAACAAAACAGAAGATGTTTGTTAATTAATTCAATTTAAAAATGCTTTTAACTTCATGTATTTGGAATGAGTGTCTGGAATTTACAAAACTTTGTTATTTTAAAAATCAAAGGTTACTAAATTTACATAATGCTAAAAATGGATGTCAAGTTATGTATTTTTGTAGGGTTAACTTTTTAGATGTGAATTTTATCCTAGCTTCGAACTTAATTTATTTAACCACCTTTTCTTATAATTGTACCAAAAAGGTTAATTATTTTGCCGCCAAATTATTCAGTGAAAATGACATGTTTAAAAATTATGTACGATAAATAAACAAAAAAACGACAATAAATTTTGTTCAAGACATGTTATAATGATGTTAAAATGAATCATTTGATTGGAGCCGAACCATTTTTAAAATTACGAATAAAGCAATATTTGCAATTTTTCAACTTTGATTTTCATAAAAAGTAACTTCCACATAAGGTTCCCAAAAACCCAAATCTATTGATAACTCTATCTATGATTTGGTGTATATAAATTGTTTTTTTTTACATTTACACTGTCGATTGTATCGCCCTGTGATGTTGTCTTCTCATGATTATTGGTTAGAAAAACAAAATATCTTTATACTTCTAACGAGGACTATTAAAATAACCAATCACACATTTTATGCATTTTTGCTAAATCTCAAATAAATAAATGGATGCATTTATAACCCTACTTGCAATGTTGGCAGCTTTAACTAAAAACGGTTGTCCGCTATTTGATTGTCACTCTATCATTTGTAGGTCATTGTTCATATGCATATCTTAGTTTCAAAGTCAAATTTTGGGAAACAAACATTATTTCATTCTAAATGAAACTAACCAATTGAACATATATCAAGTTGTTTTTCATAACATGAGGCTTTAAGGGAATAAATCCTTTGCTTGTTGATAGTTGAAGCTGAAGACACTACATCTGTTACACCAACTGGAGAAACCTCACCAGATCCTCAGATAGACAAGATTGAAGATAATTTCACTGATGACCTAGACGCTATAAGTAAGATGTCAGAAGAGGATATAATACTGCCCGTTGTAGAAGTAAAGCGGGTTCCCAAATTTCGAAGTAAAACACAATTCAGCACTCGGACGCTCAACCTGATGGAAAGACCTCCTTGGAGACCGTAAATACCTCCCTACTTCCGTTAAGAGCTGTTTTGTACTTGGTTTTATAGACACTGATTTAATGTTACAGCTAAGTCATGCATTTCATAAAAGAAGAATTTGATAATAATTTCCAACCTATATTTATAAACGAAAATGTTTACTTGAGCTATTATGTATATTTCTATCTCTTTGTAATTTTGTAATTTCAATATTGATAATGAAGAACAAGGTGGTGATGTTCGTGTGGTAGAAATAATTTTAGCTGTTTCAGCAGATTGTAAAAATGGAGGAAAAGATAATCTAATAACGTAACTGACTGTAACTTTATCATACACTGAGGGATTTTGAAATTACTTGGCACAAATGTCTACCACATCAAGACGATGTGTCGCGTCTAAGAACCACGTCCCTACCTCAAAGCTCAAGGTAACACTAACATTTTGAAGTTTCACATTATCACAATTAGAATGAATAGGTACACACAATCGTTTCCGGGCTGTAACTTTGTCATACATGGACGGATTTTAAAATAACTTGGCATAAATGTCTACAACATCAAGCTAATGTATCGCACCTAATAATCACGTCCCTACCTCAATGGTCAAGGTCACATTGCCATTTGAAGTTCACTGTTTATAGGTACACACAATCGTGTATGGGCTGTAACTTTGTCATGTACCGAAGGATTTTCAAATAACAAGGAATTAATGACTACCACATCAAAACGACATGTCGCGACAAAGACCCATGTCCCTACCTTCAAGGTCAAGGTAGTTGAAATAGTTTGAAGGTACTCATTCTATCGAGAAGAGTTTGAAGATACTCATTTATGTCCGGACTGTAACTTTGTCATGCATGGAAGGATTTTAAAATAACTTGGCACAAATGTCTATCTCATAACAACATTTTGTCGCGTACAGGAACCACGTCTCTTCTTCAAAGGTCAAGGTCACACATTATATTTTGAAGGTTCATGCTATCACAGTTAGAGTTTACAGGTACAATTATACAATGAACAATATTCAGCAATTATTTACTTTCATTCTTCTTTTGATAATACCTGCATGCTTAGGAAACCTTTTCGGGGGCATTCATCACTTGGGTGACAGCTCTTGTTTTAAATTACACTTTGTTGATGTAAAAAGTGCTTTGCTCAAATTGTAATGATAAAACCCTTGTCTAAGCGTAATATTTAAACTTGAAAAATATTTGATTGATCTTTTTCACTATGTAAATCTTTAGTTGTGATTGTAAATAGCCAATTCTATTTTTGTTTTTGCATTTAATTTTGTAATTGTGCTATTCTCGTTACTATTATGATAGAACTGTATGCTTATTTTGTACTTATCATAAGTTTGTAAGCATGAAATACAGAGAGCGTTGGTTTGTATATATATATATATTTCATTTGCAAATAAAATAAGAATAAAAATTCTAAGTAGTTGGTCTGTCTTACTTAGAGTGACTGCTTGACATCATTGAATTATACTGAATACGCTTTGATTTCAATCTTGTTTCAAACAAGTAAGCTGCTTTAACTTGAAGATTGCAGGAGGTCATTAAGTTGTTGCTGTAGAAGATTTCACTGTGGGGAACGTCTACAGTATTGCGCTTCGTGTTTACATATAGAATTTTCAAGATAGTGGACTATTCGCAGTCAGAGATGAAGGTGATTTTTATTTCGGAAACACTATCAAGTTGTTTGGTTTCTAAAAGATATGTTTTGTTTGTAATGAAATGAACTCGGCAAATAGTCATGTATTTCCTCAGACACTGCACCACTGATTGTGAATAGTACTACATCTTGAAAATTCTACACTGTCACCGCATTTTCTACAGTTGATCTTCAATATTAGGATGATATACTGTATATTTTCTTGTATAAAGAATAAAGTCATTAACAAAATAAGATTAGGCCAAGACAAATGTGAAATTGGACGGCAAAATATTATTTTTCCAGAACATGATACTTAAGAGCATTATGCTCCCCCCCCAGTTCTCCGTTGGCAATCTATACAGAAAAAATTCACCGATCAAACACGCCATTTCCTTTGGATTAGCAGTTGGCCTGATGTATCTTAAGTGAAGAACGTCCCTTCATATGAATGCAATTGTTAATCTTTAACGGAATCAGACAAGCGTTGTCATAAGAATAAGTTCAAACCAATGGCGCGTTTTTTGAGAGTTTTTCGACGTTATATACGGAAATAAGCAATTGCCGATTCAGAATGCGACCATGCCATGAGGGCCTCCCTCGGCCAATTCTTTTGCGTAAGACCTTTGTGCATTATAATGCGGTAATGAAGCCCTCCAAAGTAATGTAAAATGGAACTAAATAAGTGTGTCCTTGGAAATTTGAAAACAGTAAACAAATGATTTTATATACAGACAGAATAAATCGCGGATGAAAAATGTGACTGAAGTCTAATTTTCCCTAGGATAGAGCTGGAGAACCAAAAATTAATTCATTTACTAATTTGCAACGGAATCAGACGAATGGTGTCGTAATTGTTGATTTGCACGATAGGGAACAGAGTCAAAATTATGCGATATATTGGGCGCATTTACTGTATCACTTCTTTTATTTACAAGTCGATATTGTATTATCAAGATCATATTTTATATTGTCATTTCTTAAAATGCTAGCATGATATTATTTTATGATGTTTATCTCTTAAAATGTTGGCATGATATATATTTAAAAATCTCAAACCATTGATTAAGGTTATCAAACATATAGTTGATCAACTTTTGTAAGGCAAAGTAACAACGTTCAAAATGTTATTTCCTTCTATCGGAGAACAACTGGCAAAAAGTAAGGGCATATAGTAGAAAACGTATTCATTTTCTATTTGATTAAATTGACAATTTTAACAAATAAAAGCATTCGTGAATGATGGATCTTGATAAGGATTTTATATAATTGGTCGCTTTATATTTATTTATTTTGCTAAATAATAAGCATGATTGAATAACCAAACTGTATCAATACGAGGAGAAAAATAGATCACCGTATGTAATTGTTCCATATTATAAACTAAGAAATTCTCAATTATATGTTTTACTGATATTTTTTTAGTCTATTTGTGTGTCAAATTAGTTTTCCGATACTAGAAATAATCTATTTACTATACATAATTTACAGCTAATCATTGTTCAAGAATATCGGCCCGTACTTTTTTATAATTTTAACACAGACCTTTGTACGCATCGATTCGAAGAATATCATTTTTGTTACAGAAGTCTATCTTTATGAAGCGATAGCTTTTAAATAAAATCATTATCATTTTCCGTTGTTCCTTATTAATTCAACAACATTTAAAAAGACGATGCTTTGTTTATTTCATATACGTGTTTATTGCCCGCATACTTTGAGCGTTGATAATACAAAAGAATCAAATATTTATATTTGCTCTTATAATGGTAGATCTACTTTATCGTTACGAATTTTTAAAAAAAACCCAGATGTATTGTACACGCTTGTATTATGGTCAATCATTCAAACGATGTACGCTTAAGGGCTTAAAAGTTTTTTGTTTGTTTTTGTTTTAAATCTTGATTCTTGTGTTACATTCGTAAAACTTGTAATTTGTGCGAAGTTAATAATCTACACAATCATCACAGTAGATGATATAAACGTGGTTCCGACATGATTTACATTTGACGTGAACGTTTTTAAAATATGAAACGTGTTATTTTGCTAGATTCCGGCGAGCTTAATAACAATTTCACCTTGACGATTTCCACGACATTTTTGTACATCATATACTTTCATATTACAATGATTGTCAGATAATTTTATTAGATGATTAAATTTTACCAAAAACAACCCGTTTACAACATTATTATTAAGAATGAAATAGCCATTTAACACCGAATGAAAATTCCAATATATTTATCCGCGTGTAGGCATAGATTTTGTGTTTATATATTTTACCGTAAACATAATACATGTAATAGAAAGAGCACCGAAACACGAGGTTATCTGATTTGTACGAGGGGGCGTAGCCCCCGAGTATTAATCAGATTGCCGAGTGTTTTGGTGTTCTTTCTCTTTTGTATCATAGTCAAACATAAAAGCACGTTCCCTGTTATCACAATATGAAACCCCGGCAAAAATGAACCAATGAACGAACATCTGAATATGACATTTCTGTCGCTTTCCCTTTCTCTGCCGTCACAATATGTAAACCCCAGCAAAAATGAGCCAATCAATGGGCATGCTTTGGAGTGCGGGTAACTAATACCCGCACTCCAGTTAACGCACTGTGCATGTATATGTATACGATTTAACCCTGACACATTTTCAACAGAAAGGTCTCCAAACTATGATACAATGTCACTTTTTGCATACATGTTTATCACGTGCACCTAGAAAAACAGAGAACATTACAATTTAAATCTTCCTTTGATTAAATGTCCGATATTATTGATAACAGTACAAAATGAACTCAAAACATTAGACTTTTGACACTCGTATTGATTGTTTGTCAATTATTCAGATCAAATTCACATTCAAAGTCTTTATTTCTCTCAGATCATCATACATGATACAAACATAAGGTATATAAACAATGAACTTTTATAAAAAACAGCAGTACGTACATGGAAAGTCATTTACAGAGAACAATCACAATATATAAAAAATACCATCTATTGTTTGTTTTTATTTTCTTCTTTCGTTCAGTATGAAAGTAGTTTATTTAGTGAAATGATTCTGCAGCATAATTAATATATTTATAATATTTTTTTCAATAAACAGCTGATATTCAAATTGTATTTGACCAGTGTTATTTATAGTCTGAAATTAATATAAAATCATGTCTATTTCATAAAGCCATCTTTTTGACACCTGTCATACATTATATCGGGCAAACGACAGTCTTTGTTTTTATAAGATAAGCAGATTTAAACTGATTGTGAATTTAATGTATCGAAATGTGTGTCGATTTTTGTTTGATTATGGTCATACACCGTATAAATTACCGAAATTGTCAGTTCTACACATGTGCTTTAAAGGGAGCCAGGGGCATTTGTACTTCTGTGCTCAATTTGGCGTTCCAACACAGCTAAGTTCATATTATGCGATAGCATATCGTGTTGTCACACACACACGCAAAAAAACGGATAATAATTGAACTTTTTGCACCATTCCCTTTTCTCGTATTCCCAATAGATTTCAATTCCATAATAAATTTTTGTAAGCTGTCACTGAGGTCTTTATTCAGGATTTTTACATTTATTATTCACGTATTGTACTCGCATTTTATTTTTACAGTGTCAATACAGGTTAAGGCTAAACAGGTTAAATTTAATATTATATTAATAACAAAAGTTTTAAATTAAAAAAAAAATCATTCAACGGGACTGAATATAATGTGAACATAAACTGAAATACAGTAACAATTATTGTAATTTCATGAAAAGGGAAGATAGTTTAATAAAAATGACAATGACATTGGAAGTGTTTTATGTATTCCGGTATTGATGCGTTTTTGAAAAAGGCATACTAATTTACAATACATTAGATTATTACCATAAAATGTGAAAGTTCAAAACAGCTTCCGTTTATTGAAACAGTACTGCCAATACACGCTAAAGAACACTATAAAAAGAGCTGACATTTCAATATTTTGATGACTTGTATGTGCTAGAAATGAACGACTGACAAATAGTCAACGCGGTAGGGAATGTATATTCCTACGTTATCAGCGAAAATTGCGCGGAAATTATCTACCACGTCATAGAAAACAATACTTTTAACATTTTAAATCACATTTTTTTTATACAATGACCCACTTTTTATCGTGTGTATTAACGTGTATTGAAAGCCTATTGATATCGGGAAACCTTTATGTTGATGAGCAATAACTTTCTCTTCAGATAAAGTATCAACGTTTATTAATATTTATAAGTTAATATGAGAACGTTGGGAAAATTGTATAAAAGTGTACTCGTTTTTTGTTTGTTCAAGTGATAATATCTACAAAAGCGTTTCCGAATTAGCTTAATTATTGATCTGTGATCTGGGTGCTTAATGACACTTTGTCTTAAAACGAGAAGCATTATTACTTCATGAAATACAAAAAAATTATACTTAATGACAATGAAAACGCACGGTCGGGATAATTGCATTTTAACAAGGAAAATATATTTCTTTTAAATAGTTTTTCACTGTTTCATAACACCGAATGCATTCCGGTTATGTAAATACCAAAGTTATGAAAAATGGTTGCATTTTAAAGAAGTTATTGCATAATAAAGACAGTACCCAAAAAATCAAAAGTAACACTTTTGGCTAATTGTGATAAGATTACAAAATAAAACGGATTGAACCAATTCATGGTTACTTTATGAAATGATTTTTTTTTAACTGTTGATTATATGCTTGTTTT